CCGGATTATCATCGTCGCGCGCCGCTCGCTCCTCTCTCGGATCACATTAATCCTCGGCTGCCCTCGCGATTTTATCTCTGGAGATGCAGTTGATGCTTACGTTGACTTACGCCATTTTGAAACTACTCCCGGCCGCCGGCGGCGGAACGTGACACGTGACTTCTCCGTGCATGCGTAAAACGTCGGTCACGTGGTGGCCGGTCACTAGTTGAACTTCTTGCACTCGCTTGCACCTACTTGCACCAGTTGCACCGTCCATCTTTCCTCTTCTTCTCTCCCACGTTAGGAAACTGCTCATAATAATCAATCATAATTGGAGAATCACTGAAGTATTTTGTGTATTATTTGTATAATTAAAAGAAAAACCTACGATTACGTTTATCATCCGATGTGATGCTGTCATCGATGATTAAAGTCGAATATAGGATTAGGATGGCGTTGGTTCGATTTTGATGTATGATTGGAGAATTTTGGCATGTCAGACGTTAAAGTTTAAACGCATGTTGCCAGACATCGCGAGAAAATTCAACGTTTTGTCCTCGACATGCACAGGTAATCCCTATTTTATTCAATTTTACTTTGAGGTTATGTGTAACGCTTTGAGGTTATGGAGGTTAGGCAGCGTGAATAATTTGAATTAAACCGTAGATAATTTAAATTGAATTGAACGTAATTGTTGTTATTTTGTAGTCACGTGTGTGTAAAAACATTCCAGGCACGCGCTCGTCCTGGCACAATCGGCATTGCCATGGAAATGCGATTCTTCCAAGCGGAACTTGTGGCGAATGTACAGAACACAAGCGAGTTACAAGACCAAAGAGTACGAAGGTCGCAAATTAGTGGGGTAATAAAAACAGATAGATAAGGAAAAGACTTCTCGAGACTTTTCATATTAACTTGCTACCGTTTTATATTACTCTAAATAATATTTGAACCATGTTTCGGATTTATTGTAAACTGTTTTGGTTTTGACGTGTATTGTTTGCTGGTTCGTATATGTTGTAAATTGTATATTCTCCCAATGCGGAAAGTGCTACTTGAAGTGACGAAATTTCTGTTCTTTAGCTTCTCGATGGAGAAAATGTACCGCATAGTCGCCGACGTGGAGAATTACAAAGATTTTTTACCCTTTTGCACGAAATCTGAGATCACGATGAAAACCAAAGACTTCCTGAAGGCGAACTTGGTGATTGGATTTCCGCCCATAAACGAGAATTATACGTCGAAGGTGACCATGGCGTATCCGAGGATAGTTAAAGCTGAATGTAGGGACGGCAGATTGTTCGATCATTTGGACACCCTGTGGCTGTTTAGTCCCGGACTGAAAAACAATCCTGAAACATGCGTGATCGATTTCTCGTTGTCCTTCGAGTTCAGATCCGTCTTTTACTCTCATTTGTCAAATTTATTTTTCAATAAGATTGTGAGGCAAATGGAGAACGCCTTCCTTGAAGAAGCGACGAGAAGGTACGGCCAGCCGTGCTTAAAGGCGGTACGGCTGCAAAGATGACAAGAGATACTTTTAGAGATCATTGAATAATATTTATTTTTGTTGGCTTAATGAATTTAGTGTTACATAATTATTTTTAAAATAAATGTGTGTAAAGTTTAACAAGATTATGTAACGGAAATTGATGTGACGAGAGATGACGAACCAAGTAAATGCTTTTACCATGGAACATTTACTTAACAATAAGTGTATGAAACAAAAACATTTTCTTTTGAAAATCTAGTCAAACTTCCATAATATGTATATACGAAAAATCAATGAATTATGAAGACTACATTTAATATAAAATGTGCAAAAATATGTTACGTGGAGCATAGATTATTTACCTGAAGTACTTCAATAAAAAATATAATTTACATATATATCAGGTTATTGATAAAAATATCAAATTTTTTATCAGTAATATTAATTACGTAAATATAAGGAGAGTTCAAAATAATACTCTCATTAGCTCTTAAAGAAGAGAGAAGTAGAGGAATTATTGTCAAGTGGAAAAGTACACAAATTGTTAGCATAAAACAAATAACACATATAATTATGTACAATTATCGTGTATTATTTTTTTCAAGTATTGTGCTTTTTTTCTAAATAACTTAGTATCTTTATTTGTTGTAATTAAGATTACAAAAGTACTGTGCATTATCGATAATGTGAAAAACAAAATCTTCATAAAGGTCATGTATTTTATTTATCGAATCTTGTAAATTGCTGCAATAATTAAATTATTCGACATAAAAAAATGTTCTCGTAGAAGGCCACATTGTCACATCTTTCAAATTAGGCACGCGATTGGTCGATTTCTGTATCCTGTGCTTTCAAAGCCATCGTGCAAGTCCGTTTGAAGAGACCCTAATGCTAAGACTCCATAGACGCGGAAACGCCGTGCGGTGGAGTGCGTTGACCAATCAGAAGGCTGCCGCAAGTCGCCTGCGGCAAACTCATAATTTGTGATTGGTCAAAGCACTCTGCCGCATGGCGTTTCCGCGTCTATGGAGTCTTAGCATAAAGCGTAACTAGCCTCGACCAATCAGACTAAAGAGTACTCCATCACTTTCATCTTGATTGGTCAAGTCCCGTCAAATCTCAAACATAATTTCAACCCTCGACGTAGACATTAGTCCGATACGGAACTTTTTGAAACTATCGAAAATTATTCTATCGTGCTATAATTGCAGCTCGCATCGACAAGTTGCGGTTGGTATACACGCTACACGCATCCAATTACGATATATTTAGTTTTCCTTCAGTCGGGTTAAGACCCGAGTTATATATAGCGCGGCGGTGAGGTCCTGTTGAGAGAGAGAGAGAGAGAGAGAGAGAGAGAGAGAGAGAGAGA